TTTTTTTTTTTTTTTTTTTTTTTTTTTTTTTGCAGAGTATTTAGTCTTTTTTCTTATAGGACGATGTATTTAGTTTATTTATTTATTTGGTACAGCTAAGAAGAAAATTTTATTCAAAATCAATTAATATAAAGGGCATGAATGATTGAGTTGTTTGTTATATGCTTATGATGTAGTCATTAAGGCTCACTGAATGTCGTTGCTTTGTCATGGGAATTCAACTTTATATCATGAGTTACGTGCATGATACGGTATTAAGGATGTTAGTACCTTATTTTCTATAAAAATAAAAATGCCCGTTGTACAGTACTTGTGGACAGTGCAGTTTGTAGGTATTTGTGAGACTAGTAGTTGGCCATAGGTCCAGATAGAAAATTAAAAAAAAAAAGGGGAAAAAGAGAAAGGAAAAAAGAAGAATATTTCAATTTCCAAAAAACTTGGGTAGTGTGGCCATGTTGTTTTGAATTACGGATGTGGAGTGAGAACTTGTGAAAAAAGTACCAGTGCTTGTGTAGTCCTATGGCTTTCCCTATAAAGAATGTTTTTGGGTTTATTGAGTTCATCGTCTAACAAGAAAAAGTCTATAAATAATGTCTGTTTGATGTGTTGTTGTTTTATGAGCATGAAACATATATTCTTTTTCTTTGTCTAATGAAGCATGTTTTGGTGTGGAAGTCAATTTTTCTTAATCAGTTCTTTGAATAATGTTGTTTATCATGACAGTTAAGCACTTTGTTCTTACTACTTTTTGGGAAAGTTCTTCTTAGGTATGACTTGCATTCGGGAACCTTTGATACAGTTGGAAATCATGATGACATAGCAACATGTATTCAATATTCTAATGAAAAGTGTAAGTTACTAACAGTCTAATACTAAAACCATCTTGTTTCTGTTGTCATTTTGGTCTGTTGTTGATTTTTGAAATGTTACTTTTGAACTTCATTTCCTCTTTCTGCATTTTGTTTACTAAAGATGCTGGGAAAGAAATGCTGTCATAATCTGGAAAGAAATTCTATGTTTGTATAATTTGTTTACTGATGATGTTGGGATAGAAATGCTGTCATCATCTTGTATGAAACCACTATGTATGTGTAGATGTTTATATATGCATCTATGTTCATATACATGCATGCATGTATCTATGTGTGGAACTTAAGGACCAAGTGGACTCTATCTTGTTTAGACTTTCTTTGTCTGATGAATTCCAGTTTCCATTTGACAGTACATCTCTAACCTTTGGCCAGATGCCTGATTGTTACTATTGTAATCGAATTTCATTGGAATCCATTTAACTTACATAAAATATAAGATGTCACCATCTTAAAGAACAGTATTTCCTTATTGCATTATAGAGTAAGGGGAGATTCACTAAGGAAACCACAATAATAACAGGAACAGTTCTGCATGCATACATACATATAGCATAGATGCATATAATATAGTCAGTCCCCTAAGAAAAGGGCTTATTTTACATTTGCCATTATAGAGCTGATATTGGGGCTTTAAATGAATGCTTTCATAATCTTTACTTTTAAAGGTCTGCTCTGCCATCTGACTCCACTGTCTTAACCTTTTTCCAACGGCAGAACAAGAGATTATCATTAGGGTGGCTCATATTGTTACTTTGTAAGATAATAGTAACCATTCTCAATTTTATATTTATAATTGGTATACATCTTGGAAATCAGAGTTTCTTGTGCTCATTATAGTATGCATATTCAGCAAGATGTCCAAATAGCCAATTGCATATAAACTTCTCTTTTTAGATAATTAGATGTACACAAGTGAATTTTATATTCTGTTTCTTAACTGTATGATTAAAACTCCTTATATTGCACTGGTTTAGGTGAGGTGATAAGTGCTGGTTTAGACAAGAAGTTGATGTCCTGGGACATGCGCAGGGCAAACACTCTCATCTTCTCTAGAAATCTGGATGCTGAAGTGGAGTCCATGTCACTTTCTGGATTTGATTTGACAGTAGCTATTGGATCATCAATAAACATGTATGACTTGCGTAACTTAGACAGCCCAGTTCAGTCAGATGAATCCTGTTTTGGCGTCCAAATAAGATGTGTCTTCTCAGTTCCTTATTCTACAGGTATTATTATGTAGTGTTTCTTTGCTCCTATGATGTTGATTTTGTAGTTCCTTGAGATTGTCTTACTTGAAAAATGAAAGTGAAATGAAAAAAATACCACATGCTGGACAGTGAATTTAGTTGGCTGAAATTCTTTGAGTACTAGCACAGCTTTCTTGCAAGGATTTGGAATGTTGTAGAATGCTATTGGAGATTGCCTGAGTAATTATATGTTACAAGTTAAGCTT